TCTATCTATCTATCTATCTATCTATCTATCTTTCCATTATCTATCTACCCATCTCTGCATCCATCCACTCTCTACCCATCTATCCATCCATCCTTCTATTATCTCTCTCTCTCTCTATCTATCTATCTATCTATCTATCTATCTATCTATCTATCTATCCATCTCTCCATCCATCCACTATCTACCCATCCATCCATCCTATCATCTATCTATCTATCTATCTATCTATCCATCCATCTATCCATCCATCCATCCATCCATCCATCCATCCATCCACCCACCCAATCTTTTATCTACCTATTCATCCATCCATCTACAGACATGAGAAACTGAAATCAACTGAAATCATAGCTCAGGCGGCCATTTTAATCTTTGCAGGGCAATGTCACGGGCTCCAGGCATGCCAAGTTGCAGCGGATGGAACTTTTTTCGGAGAGCCTTGTCCAGGTTTAGGAAGCTACCTCTCCGTCCAATACCATTGCATGGAAGGTAAGCAGTCGCTGTTTCTACACACCATCCATGGAGGCAGAGATTGGTTAGTGACATCTGCGTAGAAACCCTGTTTAAAAATAGCCAACCAGCAGTCTGTTTTTTTTTTTCCCCCAGAAGCAACAATGCGATGTCTGAGATTCAGAGACTTATCAGCTTGGTGCCAGCCTGTAATAGTTTGCAGAATCATTTAGATTCTTGCAAATGCTGCACTCCTAGCTGGGGATAATTTCTAATGGTGAAGAAGCTGGATTTTCATTTTTTTTTTCCAGAATCACCTTAATTAGACTCTGAAGCTACAACCAAACAAATCCCTTTACCATACATCTCTGTAGCCCTGGTGGCAGGATGAGCGGCCAACACATTTAATAAAACAAACAAACAAGTCAACCTATTTCTTCTCCGACCTTGAGCTCTATTGAGCAGGAAATCATTCCAGCTGAAAAGGTTAATTGTGCACTTAGCAGTGTAGGATTTATATTTTATTTCTCCCTGATCTGTGATCAGAAGTAAACAAATTCAGGGTTAGATGAGGACATTTTTATATAATACTTTTTATAATACTTATATTTATATTATATATAATTTATATTATATTTATATTTATATTATAACTTATATTATTGGAATCTATTCAAAAAACTTTAGCATTGCAGTACACATATTAAAATTAATCATTTGGCTGTTACGATTTTCTATTTCATATTCTATTATAGTTTTACTGTTTTGCTCACAAGCTCGGTCTTAACACCGAGGATTCTTCTGTAAAGATCTTGGAGCTTCAATACGAGAGTATTGTGTAGATATTGTTAGCTTTTGTTTCTCCGGTTCCATAGCGATGAATGAAATGATTGGGAATTTTATGGAGGATATTTTGTCTGTTTGTGGAATATAGATTTGACAAGGCTCAGAGTTGTCTCTGAATGCAAAAGAGGATGTATTCTCTCTATGGCAACTCTGAAGCAAACCCAGCTGAAGCCATTTTGTGCTGCCTCATAGTTGCCATGAAGCCAGAAAGGGAGAAGGGAGGGGGGGAGTAGATAGCCAGGCTCCAGCCAAAACAAAATACTTTCTTGAGGGAACCAAGGTCACTGAAACAGGTGGCTACTGAAAGCGGAGAGGAGCCTGCCGTCCATCTTCATTGGACAATATGACCAGTGACATCTGGGAGGGAGGGGAGTTTGATTCTTTTAATGAGGTGAAAACCACGGGGAACTGTCAGAGTTGTTTTTCACCAGCTGTGCCAATATGATATATCCAATATACATATCCTTTGAGGAATTTATCTACCCTGGAGTTATGCTTTCAATGGGTGCATTACTCAGAATGCTGACACTCTACTCTTTTACAGGCTTGAGCTTGGCGGTGACCGAAACCACGTTTGTGTTGGAAAATGTCACCATTTCCTTGAAATGGCTGCTCTCACCATACACTGGAAACCTCTCCTGCATAATCACCACTGGAGATGGAAACAGTGTGGATCCCTACTACCCTTCAAGGTCAGAGAAAGCTTGGGGAGAAAAATGAGGCAGAGGCTTTAAAGAGATTGCAGCTGCATCGTAGAGTCAGTGAGATTCAAGGGTGGACTTTGCTAGACTATGTTTTGATAACCATCCCCATCTTCCTCATCAATGCAACTCCATGCCCCATATAAAAAAAGGACACAGCTTTGATTACAGAGTCACAGTCACTGTCTTAACCTTTTTGACCCCTACCTCATCCCTAAGGGACGCAGTGACTCAGAGGCTAAGATACTGAGCTTTGTCGATCAGAAAGGTTGGTAGTTCGGCGGTTTGAATACCTAGCACAGCATAACAGAGTGAGCTCCCATTACTTGTCCCAGCGTTGGCCAACCTAGCAGTTTGAAAGCATGTAAGAAAATAGAAAGTAGAAAGTAGAAAAATAGGAACCATCTTTGGTGGGAAGGGAACAGCGTCCCATGCGCCTTCAAAGGCGTTTAGTCATGCCGGCCACATGATTATGGAGATGTCTTCGGACAGCGCTGGCTCTTCGGCTTTGTAATGGAGATGAGCACTGCCCCCTAGAGCTGGAAACGACTAGCATGTATGTGAGAGGGGAACCTTTACCTCATCCCTAAATGTAATGTCCTCTAAGAAGGGATGCTTGGTCAATTTGGACCTACAGCCAATATCTTACACTTTTCAATGCCTTGCTGTAGATCTGGTGATCTTGGGATGGAATGTATTAAGTGTCAGCTTATAACCCGTGACACTAAGGAGGTGGATTTCCCGGAGGGAGGGGTGCATTCCAGAGAATAATAGGTAACTTGGGACAGAAAGGGGGTGAAGACAGCCTCTCCTTCATAGTTTCTAGAATGTATTATAGATGCAGATAGGACAGTCTTCAGTCTGTCAAGAGTTTGTCTGTAAAGCAATAAAGATCTCAGCTTGGAAGAATTACCAAGTGTTATTCTTGATTTGGGGCTTGACAGATCTGCCGATAATTTTCCTAGTTTTGTGTTTACAGCTTGCATAGCAATGTGACTCATTGTTACATCGAACCAGGCAAGTTCACAGTTTTTGTGGAGTGCACTACAAGTGAGTGGCACGTGACGGCTCAAAAACTCATCACTGTTCGAGATAAAATGGATAAACTCACCGTGACCGGGTGCTTCAGCAAATATGAAGTGGGGAACAGCTCTCATTGCAGGGGCCTTTATGAGGAATCCTTGTGGATTCAAGTAGAACTTAATGGAGGTTAGTATGGTGTCTCTACTCTCTACCAATTGCCGTTCAAACAGTATATATTCTCTGTACATAAAGTAGATCTCTGCTAATCTGAACTATTCCTTAAAATATCCAAATCTTTTCTATAAACAAATCATCCTGAAAGAAAAGTGTATAATTTTGAAATCAGGGCCAAAACTCCCAATAGGAAAAATTGGACAGATTGTGTCTCCTGCAACATATTCTGAGAGCAGGAGAATAAATTGCTAACTAAGTTTATTCATGGATCAGAAGGAAGAACAGCCATTTTGGGACTTTGGCCACTGGCAACAACTTTTCTTATTAATATTTTTTTTAAAAAACCTGGTGACAAACATAAAGGCTGTGTGTGTTTGTGTATGTATCAGCTTTCCACAGGAAGGGAGGCAAATAGGTAATTAGAAAGGAAAAAAGAAAAGAGAGAAAATTCTTACATAGTTATGATTTAGAATGCTGTGCTTAGCCTTCACTAGCAAGGAGATTGGTGGGTGCCAGAAACAGAGAAAAGATGTGGTTGCTTTAAAGAGCCGCGAAATACAGAGTGCTGTATTTGCATCCTGCATATTTCAAAATGGAATCAGAACTTAATGGCTACTTGATTGATTGTTTTCAGTTCTTAGCAACTACATAGATAGATTTTAACTATCTGATCTTACAGGTGTTGCAATTGTGCACACACTGTCACTGGAATTGAGTCTGTCTACCTTGGGACCGTATTGTCAGGTTTACAAATGAAACATACAGCATAACAAAAGGGTGGTGGGGAAGGATGGGGAGAAAATAAACCATACACTCATTGAAAAAGGTTGCATTCTCTAAGGGATGTTAGAACCCCTATCTTAGATTGTAAAGCTGTTTTTTCTAAAACAAAGGCTTCTAAATACGTTGCAATTCCCTTTATCTTCAGTCAGTCTGGCTATTGTCTGTCCATCCATCCATCCAAGTGCATTTGTTTATTTAATGCATACTGCATAGTATTTGTCGATGTCAAGGATCTTCAAAGTTGGCAAGTTTAAGACTTGTGGACTTCAACTCCCAGAATACCTGAGCTAACATGACTGCAGGAGGAATTCTGGGAGTTGAAGTCCACAAGTCTTAAAGCTGTCAAGTCTGAAGACCCCCGGTCTATGTGTATAATAAACACTGGATAAATATGCTAAATAAACAAATACATTTATAATAATGAAGGCATACAGCGTTTATTATATCACTTTTAAGCTATTTTGGATTTTGGGTTGTTGTTTTCTTTTGCAGGGACTGGAGTAACCTATACTGTATTAAGTGATAACAAGACTGTGATGGAGACCAGCACGAAAATAGGAACTGTCCCTCATAATCTGACCTTGGATGGAGTCCTTCAACGGCTGATTGGCCCCGGGGTCCATTCCCTGGAAATAGTTGCCACCAGCAACACCACAGATTCAGAGGTCATAGAAATCCTGACTGTTCATTTAGTAGAGCCGATTTCTGGTCTCCAAGCCATGTTAACCTCCGACTCCTTAGAATTAGGAGAAGACCTGGAAATCAAGGTCTCTGTACGTCGTGGCACCCCTGAAAAAGCGAGATTTGAAGTGACGGGGATGAATGAAACATTTTCTCACTCGAAAGACTTCGTTGAAGGGAAGTCTGAAATTTATACAATCCCAATGAATTCTGAAGGTATTGTAATGCAAAGATTCTAATTATTTATATCCAGCTGGTTTACATGCTATCTTTCCTCCAAGTATTCATCTGAGACGCCAAATACAATGCTCCCCATTTTTCTCTCTGAAAGTTAGATCTAGCAGTGAGGGGATTTCATGAATTGCCTGTATAGGAGGGTGAAAGACAGGTACCTTGGTCTATATACCAAATGAATGACCCATTGGGATCCCCATATCAAAGCAACTTATATGCGGTTAGAATCTGAAAATAACATTTAACACAGCACATAACTTAAGCAAAATGGTTCCGTTGAGATCGGCATATGCAGGACTGATTGAGGTAGATTGTAGGGATGATACCGAAATATAATTTTATCATATTGTATCTATATTATTATTATATTTTATTCTATTTTCATCTTAGATCCTATTTTATTCCGATTTCATTTTAAACTGTATTTTATCCAATTCCATTTTAAATTGCTTTTATCAAATTTCAGTAATAACTTCTTTCTGGAACTCTGCACTTTGACATGGCCTAAAGGCTAATCATCATCATCAGCAATAACAACAACAGTAATAATAATAATAACTAACCTAGACTTATCCATTTCTAAACCCTGCCTGGTAAATAATATATACAAACAGATTAAGTGAAGGTTAGGGTTAAAAAAGAAAGCAAACTCTGAAATATCTAAATCAAAATATAAAAATCTTATTTCATTTTCTATTCGGCATATCCAACTAATCAGCATTTTACCAGATTTATAGTATTTTCAGGAAAAAAAGGCTCCTGGCTTGGCATTGTTGGCCAATAGCCAAGACTCACAGTTGGCAAAGAGAACATTAACAAATACTAATATTTTTGAGCTTTATTAATGTCTGCCCCACCTCCCACCCCCTATTGCTAAACCATGAAATGGAACTGAAAAGAAGAAGCAGAAAATACAAGGAATTCAGTAATGACAGGATAAAAAGGTGGCTTGCGGAGAGTAGAGAGTTGCCCAAAATATGCAGTCCGCTTGGTTGTCAAATCATCAGTATTGGGGATGAAAAGTTCGTTCTTTCGAGTTCTTCCGAGCCACACCATAATCTCAAACTTTTGCTGTCAGATTAAACTTTTTATTCATCAGGCTTTGCTTGCTTTGCCATGGTCTCTGCCACCCATTCTCTCGAATTCTCTGAATCACCAAAACCCAGCCCAGCTCACCTTTGAACGTTCAAGATTCATTTTTTAATTGTTGAATCTGTTTCATTTATTCTATTTCATTTTTGTTTTTTTGTTTTTTTTGCCATGTGCTCTTCTCAGGTACTTTTCTGGTCAAAGTGTTCGTGATGAACGCCTTCTCAAACATGAGTGTTGATGTTGGAACTGTCACGGTGTCTAACAGCTCTCACAAAAAAGGTAATCATGGGACCTTGATTGTAATGGTGCAGGAAATGGGTAGGATAAAACTCACGAATGAAAGCAACTAACCAGGATAATGTTACAGGATACAAGTTGGGTCGGTCACTGAGAGCAGAAGTTGAGTCTTCCAAGCTTTTGGACATTCTGGTGAGAGAGAACTTCTCTGGGCTCCAGCATGTGTCCAAAAGCTCAGAAGATGAAACCTGCGGTCTCAATGACCGACTCAGATTGGATCCTATAATAAAATGGTTTCAACAAAGCAATGTGATCTCCCAGGATCAACTTCAGTGGGTAGATTGCTGTTGTATATACTGTTCTGTGATCTCAAGACTGGTGATGAAAAAATGTTTAGGGCAGAAGAAGTCCAGATTTAGCAACTGTGGAATAAAAACTTTTCCTTATTAACTTATCTAAAGTCCGTCTTTCTAGAAACCATTTTTAGTTGTCTTTCATATAAAAAGAATGGGTAGACTCTACTCAACCCAACAGAGCAAAGGAGAAACATTCATGTTTTGCTGAGAGAAACTCAAGCCTATCTTGAATGATAAAGTTTAAATCTTCTATTGTGTTCTTGGCACAAACAGATCCTGTAGCGAACGAAGAAAAATCCAGCACAAATGGGAAAAGAAGACTTGTGAGTACTGGGAAAATGTGGAAGAAAAGGAAGTGCATAAACTAGTGTATAGAGGAGATAGATTGCTGAGAAATGTGTCTTAGCTATTTGTGTGTCATATTAAGACAGATGAATTGTGCAGTGAACAATGTAATATTGCAAGTGTTGTTCTAATCTAGTGTTTCTCAACTTGGCAACTTTAAGATGTATGGACATCAACTCCCAGAATTCCCCAGCCAGTATACTAGCTGGGGAATTCTGGGAGTTGGTCCACATATTTTAAAGTTGAAAAACACTGTTCTAATAAGTCTGCAAATCTTAAAGTTGCCAAGGTTGGGGACCCCTGCAAAAACCACGTTGACCTACTGAGATAATTTCTAAGCATCCATATTTTTTTTAAATTGTGATCAATCCAAATCCTTTAAATGATTTAAATCAGATATGCAGTCTTCTATCTTCCACTGGTTTATTTAGAAAAACCTAATCCAATTTATCCAAATGTATTCCTCTGTGAAACATCATGGGAATATAATGGAATATTAGACACATACAGCCAACAGGTGGGAGAAGTACTTGTTAGTCAACAAGAGCTGAAGAAGCTTCTTGGATGAGAAGTGAAACATCTTCAGAGAAAACCAGAAAGTCCAGTTGCCTCTTGAAAAAAGCACCTCTGGGACTACTTGTTAGTCATTTAACCCAGAGGCAGTTCAATCCAGGCTGCAAAATAAATTATATTATTTATAAAGTTATGCTATTTATCAGTTATGCCTGTTAAATAAGGAAGTTTGGAAGCGTCTGTCTACTGTAAATACTTTGCAGAGATACTTTTGTGCCTAATTCCTCACATTTCTGTGGCTTCAGGATGACAAGGGGAAAAATAGGATCTACATTTCACCCAGCCGCCATGCCAGTGTCTTTGCAACAATTATCTTGGGTTGGCCTGAGACTGACAGCAACAATTCACTCTACAGTTGGTCTTGTGGTAAGTGTGTGTCTCTCAGTGTGCTTCCTTGCCTTATTTCTCAGGCAAGATTCTGTTAATGTAGCCTGACCATAAAATAGAATTAGCTCAGCTGATTGTGTTTCCTGCTGATCTATCTGTGAAGGCTGACATCAATCTTGCAAGTTTGATAGTAAAAATCTCACATCATCTCCTTTACAACCTGACAAATTAAGGAAGATTTTTTCTGATCCTCTTTCTCCACCCATTATGCAGTTATGGGTATAATACCTCTCTTATCTAACCATGCCCTGGTGGCACCTTTTTCCTGGGTTTCTCAAGGTCATTCTCATAAACTATTACAGTTGCAAATGTCTGAAGAAAAGAAGAGCCAGAAAAGTGGAGATCTGTAATGAGCTGAGCATGAAGCTCTGGGAAGTGGAATGGTGGTGCGATGCTTTACAGTTTTTGCAGGTAGAACATTCTGAATCTTGAAAGGAGAAATCCATCCTTCTCCAGCCCAGAACAAGATAAGCCCATGCTTAGTGAACCAAAGTAAGGGGGAACCCTAGAATTTCCCCCCTTATCCTTAACACTTTCACTGACACACAAGACTTTTCAGCAGTTATCACGTCTTAAGGTCTTGTCAATTAAGTAACAGGACGGCCAAGACATCATTGTTGGGGTGTGCTTAGGAAATCAGGTGACCTTCATCTGGCCTTGTCCTTCTCTTAGTTTTGTCAAGCTCAAACCCAGAAGTGGGACAGCAAGATCCAATAGTGACCAATCCTTTATTTGCTTACACCTAAGGGACAGAATCTTGCCAGATTAAAGCTATAAGTTTCTAAGCTTCTAGATACAACCTATGAGATTCTAGGGTATGATTACCCTGAACTACTTCTTTTGTTCCACATCCAGCAATTTCTTAATCCTAGTTTCCTTTTGGGACGGCACTGTGTTGTCAAAAAACTCTCCTCCTACTTTTATAGGTGCACATTCCATCACAATTGTGTTGGGAAAATTCTATCTTTTTCAAACACACCCACACACAAATGACTTCAACTCTGAGATAACTCAGGACCATCACATTTATCCTGGTTCTGGGGTAGATGAGAAAGTGCAAATAAGTTGACTGAAAAACTGCCTTTGCAGGGTTCTGCTGGCCTCAGTGGGATGAATGTGTGCAGCAACAATCTATCGACACTGCACAAAGAGAGATCCGGATACCACCCAACTGCTTGCCTCCTCCCAGCTCTGCAGTGACAGTGAAGGTTGTGGTGAAAACCCCAGAGAAAGAGGAGAAGCAGGATGAACAATGTTTGTACGTCACAGCAAAGCGAGATTTGAGCCTGAGGATCAGGTGTGGCAACCTTGCACTATTATTTTTTAAGGTGGATGGGGAGGATGGATGGATTAACTCTTTAAAAAGTTAATCCATTTGATTGTAAAAAAAAAAAAAGGGACATCTTTCTAATCCCCCAATTACTGTTGTGAATACAGGCCCTGATATTTATGAATTATAATGTCTCTTTTTCGCTTCACGAATCTCACTAAAGCACATTGTTTGCTGTTCTGTTGGACAAGACCCAAATAGAATAGAATAGAATAGAATAGAATAGAATAGAATAGAATAGAATAGAATAGAATAGAATTCTTTATTGGCCAAGTGTGATTGTACACACAAGGAATTTGTCTTGGTGCATTTGCTCTCATTGTACATAAAAGAAAAGATACATTCATCTGTCAAACAAGTACTGGTGCAGTGATTTGAAATACCTTTATGTTAAGGGTGGTATGAATTTGTCTCTGAACTATAGGTCACAATATGTATTTATTTACTAAGTTTACATGCTGCCTTCTCACTATAAGTAACCCAGTATATTGATCAAAATTCTCTGCTGCTATACCTCCAGTCAGACTATTAACACACCAACTCTATTTTTTTTTCTTTTATGCTTGTAAAACCAAACCATATTTAGGCTGTGAACCACTAAAAGCTAGCTATAGTGAAAAAAAATTTTATGTTGCTAAGAGAGATCAGCTGATATGCTACCACTGGGGAAACACTGCTCAGCAGAAAAAGAGCTAGAGAATCCTGTTGTCATCTTGAGATTATCCTTGCGCCATTTTGGTAGGATTGGTTAATTTTCTCAGCAGGTGCTTATTTTTAGTTTACTAAATGTCATTTTATTTGGCTCCTCCTAGTTGTGAGAGGAATTGCAATCCTGTGAATATCAGTGAAGATGTTATCCTTAAAGTTTCAATGAGGGAAGATGCAAAGCCTGTACTTTACAAGTGGTATTTAGACCACTCCTTTGGAAGAAAGGTAAGTTTATGACCACCTCAGAAATTCCATATGTTCCTACACTCTGAAAAAAAATATTTTGTAGAGAATAACATTCCCTCTGAGAACAAACAACATTCAAGAGATATGGACATATTGGATGAGCAAAGTAGGGTTATAAACAGGGGTGGGATTCAAATTTTTTAACAACCGGTTCTGTGGCTGTGGCTTAGTTGGTGGGCGTGGCTTGGTGGTCATGTGACTGGGTGGACATGGCTTGGTGGTCATGTTACTGGCTGGGCGTGGCCAACTCAACATCACTCACATCAAGGCACGCATCTCCTCGTCTGGCCTCTCGTGACTGTGGGGATGCTGCAACAGTCGTAAGTGTAAAAAATGGTCATAAGTCACTTTTTTCAATGGTCACTCCACACAAGCAAAGTACCAGCAAAGGAGGGAAGAAAACTCCAAAGAAGTTCCTGAGACAGGAACTCTACTCCTGCCAAGAATGTAATAAGGGTTAACGGAGAGGCAGTTTCTGTAAGCAACACCACAATGTTTCCTTCCTGCCTTCCTTACAGGATTAGGCCAGTAATTTCTTCTAACAACCGGTTCTCTGAACTGCTTAGAATGTTAACAACTGGTTCTAGCGAATAGGTGTGAACTGGTAGAATCCCACCCCTGGTTATAAAGAACTACACTGCGTAATTTTTCCAGGAGCAGATTCCAGATCTTCACTTATAGCAAATTCATGATGGTGTGATTATGAGTAGGAAGGTAGAACTACAGTCTAGCTAAAACTAAGGAGAAATTTGCTGACAGTGAAAATGTTAACCAGTGGAACAGCTTGCCTCCAGAAGTTGTGGGTGCCCCATAACTGGAGGTTATCAAGAAGAGTTTGGGCCATGGTATAGGGTCTCTTGCTTGAGCAGAACTATAAGACCTCCAAGGTGCCTTCCAACTCTAATATTCTATTACTCTGAAATAGCGCATCTAGTTTTCGCCTTTCTAGAGAAATTATCAATCTCGTTTTGGAAAATATTCAGAATGGAGGGGGGCGGTCTTAGCTCCACCCTTCTCTCAACAAAAATGAACCATGTGTTCACGGATGTGTGGAAAGTTCCTTGAAGACAGCTACTTCTTGGCAGCATTTCCTGGAATGACCTGAGTGTATGTGATTTCCTTTTTCTCTTAACTCTGTTTTTCTTCCTCTGGAGGCTTCATTTTTGTTGGTGTGAAATTTGGCTAATTAAACAAAAAGGCCCCTCTTTTAGAAACCCAAAGCTATTGTTCCTAAACATACTTGCTATTCAAATATATACATGAGCCAAAGAAATGCTGATTATGTTCTTTCCAAAAGAACATTTTAAAAAGAAGAGTTTAATTTCACCATTTGAGAATGAGGTGAAGCAAATAGTCCTGCCTAGTGGACATACAGTAGCATATTTGGAAGAGATGATGGCTACTAAAAATTGGATATTTTTTAATTCCTGTTTTTCTTCGACTTTCATTTGATTTCCTTTCTCAGTCTAATCTGCTTCCTCCAGGATGCAACTTAAATGGTTTCCCACAAAGCTCACTCACTTTTCTTCAGAATGATACTGAAGTTCTTGTCCTGAACAGCTCGTTCTTGCAATCACATGGCGAAGCCTTTCAAATCAGAGCAACAGGTATTGGTCACTAAAATTTAGTGGTTGTTTTTTTTAAACTGGCAGTTTTTAGTGTCGCGCTGATAATTGTTAATTGTTATGTTAATGGCTAGTTTTGGACTTATGAACTTTCCAAGTATTTACAAGTGCTCCTTGACTTAGAACAAGTTGCTTAGTGGACTATTCAGAGTTATGATGGGCCCCTCAAAAGATAGTCATAATCCAATTTTGAAGTTTTGATTTCAGATCACATGATCACTATCTAGAATATGACTATTGTAGACTAGATCTAGTCAACGATTGCTTGTCAACTATCTTGCCTTTATAGCTGTTTGCATGTAGGTCATATGACCTTGATTTGTTTTGCCCATTGAATTTGCTTAACAACCATGCTTTTCACTTAACAACTGCCACAAAAAAGTCATAAAATCTGACACACTGACACTCAATGACTGAAATAACTTATGACCATAATTCTGGGATCAATTACAAGATCAACTGTCTTGCTCTTATTATTAATTCAATTTCAATCCAGTTTACTGTAGTCCTAGACCAGCACAAGTAGAGTGCTCTGTGAATATATACTGTATATATAAAATCTATCTTGAGAGATGATAAATAAAGTTTAAGACAATATTTAAATATGTTTATAAAACAACCCACCCAACATCTATAAGTGAGGTCCAGTCTATATTAAATTGTAACATAGATACTAAGATTATATTAACCTTTTATTATGAAAATACCATATTTTAAACCCCTCCTTGGAATAGAGAATGGCCAACATTTGTTTTGTGTAAAAATCACATGTTCATCTGAAAGCAACTCCAACTGATATGAAAGGAAATAAAAATTGAATTATTGGATTTCTGGTTTCTCCCTTTTTATACATCTGCTAAATTAGCAATATTTGTAGACATTTAGCCTCCATTAGAGACTGTAAGTGATTATATTTATTATGCTGTGTGACATGTAGTATGTATGGGAACCATCCTTGCTTAAATCTGATTAAACTTCTTTTGTGTATATGTATTTGCCGTAGTTGCAAATTCTCCAAGTTTAAGTTTTCAAACATATATTATCGGAATCCCATTGTTCTTCCAATTCTGAGCAAAAACCGATTTTTTCCCTGCTAACTTGGAGATGATCTTTTAAAGGTACTTTCAAATCCCAAGTTCTTTTTTCAAAAGTTGACACCAAACATTTTAAGTAGCTTTGCGTTAACTCCATAAACCTTGCAATTCAGCTGAAGTAAGTCATAACGTACTATATCAATAACATTTCTATTCTGTTCTAAGTAATAACCTGTAAAAAAGGTTGAGAAAGGAATTGTAGATGGGAATAGTAATAAAATAACCTGTTTTTTTTAGTAAAGATACGTGTGTTTGATTTAAAAAGAGCCAGGGTACATTTTAGTGCCCAATCACGATGTACATCACAGTAAACCAATTTTTGTTTCAAAATTTCAGTTGTGACTGAGAACAAATATGGAGAAGAAACCTACATTGTCAGCTCAGTGCCTCCTCCGGTAGCTCCAGAATGTTCTGTTTCTCCTCCTCAAGGATCAGTACTCAACAGCTTCTCCATCTCCTGCCAGTCTTCCTGCCTGTTGGGCCAGTGCCTCCGAACTGACAGCTCTTCATTCACATATTGCTTCTACCTGGAACCAAGTGAGAACCAGTTATTGGGTTGATACCTCAAGGTCCTTCTTTAACTAAAGGACTGTGATGGAATGTAGTCCGGATTCCCAGGTGGGAAGGGAGTGCGTTCCAGAGGAACAAGAGACAGCAAAGTTTAGGTAATTTGTGTTGGAGGGAGGAGGAGCGTTCAGACAGCTTAGATTGGTTCATTAGCCCTTCTTTAATTGCTTAAGGAAATTTCCTTTTTCATTTGGTGAGTCCAATCTTGCATCTGAGTCCACTTCCTTCTTTCTTGTTCTTTTCAGATTCTCTCCTTCACTGTGGGCAAGATCCAGCCCTACCCTTGGTCTACCTTCCATTGGGAGAAGAAGACAACGACTTTGTTCTACAGATTAAAATTTCAGTGACCAATAATTATGGCCATATTGTTTATTCAAATGCCACCGTAAGGGTGAGTGATGACCTTGGTTACCTTCCCAACTTTTTGCCTTCATGTCCATAGACTTCATCATCCAGGACAAGGAGAAATAAATGATTTGAACCAACTTTCTAAGATTTTCTCCCCCAAATTGACACTTTTTAAAAACCTTCCTAGTGCCTTCATGTTCACAAAAAGATAGGTTTTTTTTAAAAAAAAATGGCCATTCATCATTTAAACTTCAACATTGTCAGCTCTTCTTTTTAATAGTTATTTTATTAAAAAAAATTACAATTGCAGTAATAAAAACCAATACAAAGTAAAAAAATAAAAAAAAGTGCAAAAAAGAAAATTATAGAATGAAAAATAGAAAAGAAAAAAAAGGTGTATAGTAAAGAAAAAGAAAAAATATATACAGAAAATAACTTTCTCTTTCACCACAGGTATGGGTATAATTTTTTACTAACTTATTACCTGCTCTTAAAAACACAACAATATGATTTCTTCCTATATTTTCTTCCTGTATCTTATCTCGTAACAAATCAGCCAAAGTCCATTACTTCTACTGCAGTCTTGGCTCTGCTTTTAATTATCTCTGAAAGTCAACAATGCCTTCATGTCCAGGAAGCATATTGTATTTCCTGAGAAGAGTTCCCCAACAGAGACAGGAGGTCTATTTAATACAAGCAGTCCTTGTTTAGTGTCTGCCTCTTTTAACAACCATTCACAGTTATTGCCAGTCCCAATTCTGGACGCTAAATGAAGGGTACCTATAATAGTTTGTTGAATAAACTCACAATTGGTTTCATGAACATGCTGAGTTAGAACCTAAGTAAGTATGTCGGTAACAATAGTAAGTAATAAACATTGGACAGCACTTAGAAAACAGGAGCATTGACAACATTTCCACCCATCAGTTATAAAAGCATTACAACATCCTAGTTCTTGGGAAGAATTCAGTGTGCATAAAAGCCAACACAGGCTAAATAATTGGCAGCTGTGATTTCATAATGTTGTGTATATAATAATTTATTAAAGATGTATGTCCCCTAAGTCTCAGGGACTCTGGGCACTAGGAGTGAAGGATGTGATAGACAACTCTACGCCCCACCCCCAAACCAGAGGTGGTATTCAGCAGGTTCTGACCAGTTCTGGAGAACCGGTAGCAGAAATTTTGAGTAGTTCGGAGAACCAGTAGCAGAAATTTTGAGTAGTTCGGAGAACCAGTAGCAGAAATTTTGAGTAGTTCAGAATACCACTTCTGACTGGCCCTGTCCCCATCTATTCTCTGCCTCCCAAGTCTGAGCTGATAGCCTGGATCTTCTTTTGTTGCCCTGCACAGGAGAACAGAGCTGGAAAGCACGTTAAGTGGGGGGGGGGGAGGGAATAGAGGTTTTGCAGTATCCTTCCCCTGCCACGCCCACCAAGCCACGCCCACCAAGTCATGCCCACAGAACCAGTAGTAAAAAAAATGGAATCCCACCACTGCCCTAAACCCGTGATGGCGAACCTAGGGCATGGGTGCCAGAGGTGACACGCAGAGTCCTCTCCCAGGGCAGACAAGCCATTGCCCCAGTTTAGTTTAGTTTACTTTATTGTCTTTGCACCTCATACAATGAAGTTGAATACCATCTTCAATGTACATTATGACTATGAAAATAAACAGAACCACACATCCTTCACATTCTATACAATGAATTGAAAACCCCTTGATATTGCATTAATATTGTACTATACGGTAGAATTCAAAAGAGCAACTGCCCTGGGATAGAAGCTGTTTTTCAGCCTGTTTGTCCTTGTTTTTATTATCCTGTACCGTCTGCCAGGTGGTCATAGTTCAAAAAAAGGGTGCCCAGGATAAGATGGCACAGCTCAGCTCTGTCGTAAATGTGCGTGTGTCTCCCACCAGTCAGTGGTCTTTGGGTCTCTGCTGTGCATGCATGGGGTGGGGGCGGGGCACATGCATGGGAGCAGGGTACATGTGTGGGGCATATGTATCATGCACGGGAGGTACATGCACGTTGCATTTTGGCGAAGCGCATTCACACGCTTTGGGCACCCGGTGCCGAAAAGGTTAGCCATCCCTGCCCTAAACCATCTTGTTTTGCCAGGTTCAACCTGAAGATCTAAACAGTGGGAACCAAACTTTGCAGGCCATGATTTTGGAAAAATCAAACAGCATCCTGAGAGGAGAGAATAACAGCATGTCCCTCTTTCAGCTGTATAAGTCGGTTTCTTCTGTTCTTAACCAAGACACGAAAGAAGCCACTTTTAATTCATCTCTGCAGACAGATACGCGGAAAGAGGTTTGTCTTTTGAGCTTCTCTTTTCTCCAAAGCACCAGAGGGCAGGACAAGAAGTAATGGGTGGAAGATCATTAAAGAGAGATCCAACGTAGAATTAGGTTGAAAGAAATTTCCTGACAGTGAGAACAACTAATCAAGGGAATGTTATTGTCATGCCCCTAGTGGAGTCTGACTCTGAGGAACAGCCCACGGAGTGGAAGTGTGGCTCTGGAGGTTGTGGAGGAGGCTGGGGAAGGGCAGAGGCCATCTGGGCAGTCAGAGGAGGACCCAGGCCCATCCCCTCTCCATCCTAGGGCACACAGGGAGGAGAGGATAAAGGAGAGACATGGTCTACTTGGGAGGAGAAGGCCTTGATCCTTCTTCATGGGCTGCAGCTGTGACAACTGAATAAGAGTTTGGACCTGCGTATTGGCAAATGCTGGAAACAAATTGTGTAAATATCTCTAGTTTATAGTTCCTCTCTGAGTTTGGCATCCTTCCCAGAGTGTGTTATCTGTGGACATCCACCAGCCCTGATCTTGCCTGGTTTGCGTTGCTTTTCTCCTTCTTCATGTAACTGTTTGTGTGGGAGTGTTTTTGTCTTCCGTCAAAGATATTCGGAGCTTGGAAGCAAAGTGAAGGAATAAAAGGGGCTTCACCTGTTTTCTGTGACTATGTTTGTTTTGTATCCCACCCTGGGTCATCACAGTTATTCAGTGTTCTGCGTCCTTCCTTTCACGGCCTCTCCTTGTCTCTCAAGCTTAGAGAACTAATGCTGACAACCCTCTCCGTGGTTAATGTCACATCGATGCAGACGGCCCTCAAAATGTCAGAAGTCCTCAAGGAAATAACATACAGGAGCGAAGAGCTCTCTTCTTCTGCACAGGTGAGTAGGCAGCTGAGAAGGTGCCTTCTGACCAGAGGTGATATTCAGCAGGTTCTGACCAGTTCTGGAGAACCAGTAGCGGGAATTTTGAGTGGTTCGGAGAACCGGAAAATGCCACCTCTGACTGGCCCCGCCAACCCCCTCTATTCTCTGCCTCCCATTGAGTCCCAGCTGATCGGCTGGCTTTTCTTTGGTTGCCCCGCACAGGAGAACAGAGCTGGAAAGCAGGTTAGTGGGGTGGGGCGGGAATGGGGATTTTGCAGTATCCTTCCCCTGCCATGCCCACCAAGCCACGCTCACCAAGCCACGCCCACAGAAGTGTAAGTAAAAAAATTTTTAATCCCTCCACTGCTTCTGACCTCTAGATAAAGCAACCCAGACTGTAACAAGGATGTCAGAAGTGGGTCACTTCTGAAGTGAATGTGGGTCACTTCAGAATATATTCCACAGCCTGCAAAAGAGGAAATGGATAGGAACAATTTCATTTACTTTTCTTTTAGAAGTAGAGCAAAGCATTAACCAGCCAACATGGCAAGATTGGACAATAATAGCCAGCTCCAAAATTGCGGTTCTTAAGTGAGACATTGGTTAAGTGAGTTTGCCCCCATTTTACATCCTTTCTTGCCACAGTTGTTAAGTGAGTCACTGCAGTTGATAAGTTAGTAACCCACCCGTTAAGTGAATCTAGCTTCCCCCATTGGCTTTGCTTGTGGGGAAGATCATAGAAGGAGATCACACGATCCCGGAACATTGCAGCCGTCATAAATATGAGTTGGTTGCCAAGCATCAAAATTTTGATCACATGATCGTGGGGAATGCTGCAAAGGTCGTAACTGTGAAAAACAATCATAAGTCACATTTTCTAGTTCTGTTGTAATTTTGAACAGTCATTAGACGAACTGCTGTAAATCGAGGACTTTCTGTATTCTGTGAAAGAATCTGAACTATTAACGAAGGGTCCTTGGTGCTCTCTGAGCTTGGTTGTTTTCTTGCAGATGTTTCATTACCCAATATATATATATATAAAAGTGAAATACCACTCACGCATCATCACAAAATCTCCAGAACCGTAAAGCCTACAAACTTGAAATTTGGCACATATGTTCCTTTTGGCTTATGGGTGCTCATTAAGAAAGGATTTTTCGAAATGACCATCAGAGCAATAGCATTTCATATATTATTATTAACACGCTCTGATGTTAAGGAGTTCTACTCTCCCTCCCCACCTGGAAAGAAATCTATTCCAAATGCAAAACACAAGCAGAAGAGAGGAGTTTCGGTTTCAATTTCACAACACCAAACAGCTTTAGTACAGAAGAGTTGAGCTAAGCTATGCCCAGGCTTCTTTCTTTCTCCTTCTTGCTCACACAGCAAATACTGCTTTGGTTTCCAAACAGCCCTCAACTCTCTCACACACTGACAGGACACTAGCCAGATGAATACCGATAATAGATGCTGGCAGGCAAAGGCGGAATTTTTTCCTCTATTTTCCTCCCCAAAAACTAAACCCGATCACATAGTTTCGTAGTGAAGCACAAGTATCGAGCTAGTTAGGTAATATCATTGGTGCTTTGAGGACCCCTCATTTCAACCCTGAGCTACAAATATTCTCCTTTATTGGGAACTATTAACAGTCAAAGCAAATTGGCACTAGATAAGAGTCAACAGGATTCAAGGTGGGCTAGGCTTCAGATCTTTTCTGGGAGTGAAGGGACTTGAGACTGATAACACACTTGACCTCTCCCTCAGTCTCAGTATGGTCATCTCCAGAAACCTCTTTTTCTCCTATCTAGGTGGAAGCTAGTCACACTCTGAAGAGTGTTAGTGAATCCTTACTGATGGTGGACACAGAAGATGGAGAAGATCATCTAAAGCGCAAGGAAGCTGCCAGCTATCTTTTCAGTGCAGTAAGCAACGTCCTGGAAGCTACTGTGCAGAATGGAACAGAAGAAGCCTCTGTCTCCGAAATGGCACAGGTGAGGGTGTGATGAATCAGGTGTGTTGCCTTGCATTTACATGCCTCTGCAAATCTTGTTGGTATCTTCATTCCCCATTTATGGTCCCAAGTGATGTACGGCATGTTCTGGATCCTCTCCTAAAATAGGTGCTTGTCTTTTCACCCACAGTTATCATTAGCAGGCTGCGTGTACTTTTTAAGAGATCTTCAGTCACATTGGAGGGTAGCAATTTATGGTGTGATTTTCCCATTTCCTACTTTGTAAATGGTTAGAGGCATCCAAAATTTAAAACAGTGTTCCATTAGATAACCGTTCGATGGATATCACAGGTGGGGACACTGGTATCCATTGAAATATCTTTAGGGGACTCCGTTCTACCTGACTTAAAGGACTCTTACAGAATCTAGTTTATTTCTTCTGCCATAGAATTCAGTTTCGCAAGAACTCATAACCACAGTTGAAAATCTTCAGAGTGCTCTCCTTTTTGGAAAATTGCCCGACAACGAGCCTTTGGTGCTAACAGCTCCTTCTGCAGCTATGTATATCAACAGGTAATCCATCTCAACTGTTTTCCATTTCTGTTTGGGAAAGACATATTATATCATTGTTATCCTGGGTTGCAAACTTTCTTATGACCACCCGGGAAAAGATGGGAGAGAGGAAGGGAGGGAGGGAGGAAGGAAGGAAGGAAGGATCCTAGTTTGTTTCATAAAGTGCATTTCTGAGTTTATGCATTGTGTTATACCCAAAATAAACTGATTTCACTTAGCATTTTTTTTATTTTCTTAGAAGTAGCTTCTCAGAATGATTTCCTAGATCTTCTGTTTAGGCTCCTTAAGATGGAGATGTCAGGAACAAACCAAGGTTTATCTCGTCCTTTCTGCTCATTTCTGGTCTCACCTGATAGCCCTTCCCTTCCCTTCGATCACTGCAGGGCACGTTAAATCATAAACTACGGTAAACATTATCCAGATCCCTACAATGTACTAAACATAACTCAAAGTCAAACAGCCACATTCTTACTTACAGAGTGTTATGAAGTCAGTTTCTCACTTGTTTCTTATTTCTCCTCTTAAGAGAGCATAAAAGAAGATCAAGGGAAGAGCCATTACTCATAAATCGATCCCTTTCACCCAATGCATCGTGCCACTGAGGATCTGCGTGTTTGCTTTTCTGCCTTGTCTTCTCACCTGTCTTTGTTTTCCGACCCTTTTGTGTCAAGGTTGCAGACCGAGAATGTCAACAGCACAGCGATTAAAATCTCCAACTCCAGTTCCGCTTCTTTCACGCTCCCTTCTGCTTCTTCTCTCAGCATCTCTGGAGACAGCGATGAGACGGTGGACATTAGGGCAAGCCTGCACTTTTATGGGGGTTTTCTTTGCTCTGGGAATGGGTTTTTTTCTGGCCTTGAAATGTTTCTTCATTTTTAATCAGAGTTTAAATGTTGAAGTAGCAGTGATGGGCCACATGACCATCTCTCCTCCTTTTATTTCTTACTTTGGGGCATTCAAATCAAGATTGACTTCTGGCAACCATTTTGGAAAAGTCTCTGCAGGTTTCTTGGCAAGATCTCAGAAGTGATTTGCTGTCATGCCCCTGTCAGAGTCTGAATCCAAGAAGGAGGCCGGACAGCTGACAGGGAGGGGGAGTGTGGCTCCGTTGGCTGTGGAGGAGGCTGGGGAAGGGCAAAGTCTGGCTGGGCAGAGCAGGGAAGAGGAGGGAAGAGCAGGGAAGAGAACAAGGGAGAGGGAGCTCAGGGGAAGAACCAAGCCCACTCCCTCTTCATCCTAGGACACGCAGGGAGGAACAGAAAAGAGAGCAATGTGAGTTGCGTGGCTTATGGGGAGGAAAGGGCCTTGATTCCCTTCATTAGCCACAGCTGGGAAAACAGTTGATAAGAAAGGCAGTCTGCGTTCTGCAGGCTGCTGGGAGCAAACATGACTTTATCTGGTGTTGTTGTTGCTTATCTGTGTTCCTGGTGTCTTCCCAACCATGTGAGTTTTGCCGTGTCTTCAAGTCTGAAATTCTTGCTCCTGCTCTGCCTAACTAATTACTTCAGTTTGGCTTGTTTGGACTTTAAGTTACAATTTGTGTTGACCATGTTTTTAACTTAAGGCTGTTCCTGGGAGAGTTTTTCTCCAGCCAGAAGATAACCTGGACATTGGGGGTAAAGTTGGAGATAATAAAGGGACTCCAACTGATTATCTGACTGTGTTGACTTTGGGCCACGCCCCGGGTTGTCACATTTGCCATTGCATCCTTCCAAGGGCTGAGAGACAAGGACTGGCCCTTATCTGAAGAAATTTTGACCATTAACTTTCCCTTCTTGCAGATGGTGAGCTTCTCAGTGAATCCCTTTTCCTCAAGTGACTCATTTGATATCAATGGAGCTGTTGGAGGACTGACTCTCACCAGCCTAGATGGACTGGTCATTCCAGTGTATGACCTGTCAGAAGATATTGAGGTAATTTTTCTCCTCTGTGTGCTTTCCACCCCTTAGGGCAGGGGTGTCAAACTGTTCAAGGTCCGTGGACCACATCCAGCCCTCATAGATCTAGCCCGCAGGCCTGCCCTAGAAACAATGAAGGACTGGCCTGTGGTGCTTTTGCCAGTGAAAACAGAGCTTGGGACGGCCACGTGTGGCCCACCCGGTCTCTGTTTTTGCTGGCAGAGGGCTTCAGGAGGCCATCACAGTTGAAAACAGAGTCTCAATCAGGGATGGAATTCTACCAGTTCGCACCTATTCGCTAGAACTGGTTGTTAACATTCTAAGCAGTTCAGAGAACCAGTTGTTAGAAGAAATTACTGGCCTAATCCTGTAAGGAAGGTAGGAAGGAAACATTCTGGTGTTGCTTACAGAAATGGCCTCTCTGTTAACCTTTATTACATTCTTGGCAGGACTTGACTTCCCTTCTCAGGAACTTCTCTGGAGTTTTTTTTCACCTCCTTTGCTGGTACTTTGCTTGTGTGGAGTGACCATTCAAAGTTACAATGGCACTGAAAAAAGTGACTTATGACCATTTTCTACGCTTACGACTGTTGCAGCATCCCCATAGTCATGAGAGGCAAGGCCTTGATGTGAGTGATATTGAGTTGGCCATGCCCAGCCAATAACAGGACCACCAAGCCATGTCCACCCAGTCACATGACCACCAAGCCACAACCACCAACTAAGCCATGGCCACAGAACCGGTTGTTAAAAAATTTGAATCCTACCCCTGGTCTCAATGATCTGGCCATACTCACCTTGGCCCTCTGAGGTCAAACATAACCTGATGCAGCCCTCAATGAAATTGAGTTTGATAACCTTGCCTTAGGGGGTTTGCTGAAGACAAATTTGTCCTGTGTCCTGATGGTTTTGTTTTTTCTTCTTCTACATTTTTAGTCCCCCTATTAAACTGGTAATACCAGAGTTGAGAAAGATCAGAATGGAAAATACTAAATATTCTACTAGCATTCTACATCTCTCCATTTTCTTTCAAGTTATTCACTCTCTCCTCCAATCTTCAATATTTAGGAGACAGAAACACCTTCTCTATTTATCCCATCGTCCTTAAGTTTGTAAAATGTTGGCGTAAATCACAGAGCAAGGCTATAGTTAGTGCTATCCTTTCACGTGTAAATGCTTATGATTTATTTTTAAGGCTCTCAAGGTATGAATAGATCTCCAGAGCTAATTGGTTAACTTTAACCATAGATAAGGTTACCCAGGAGCCCTGCAACTCAAGAGGACAAGAATATATTGAACCTGGGAAATCTCACAGCTGTCCAAGTCAATGTGACTTCAGCAGACTCCTCTCTGGTGATTTACCTGGAGATGGATCAAAATATTCCACTTATCCTTTATTTGGGATATGATTATCTTCCCAACGAGACTGATCATGAACTTATGGCACGTCTTCCTCACAACAGAAATACCAGAGGTAAAATAAAATACTCTCACACATTTTTAAAGCTCAGTCAATAATGTTTTGTTGAGTAAGCCATAATGATTACCCATAATGGCTTAGATCAGACCTAAAACTACATCTTTAACAACATTATGACATCATTTGGTGGTCCTCAGCATGGGGTTTGAGTTTGACGATGTCATTGTGTACTTTGAATCCACCTGTCTTCCTAACCTGCCTATTTTTTTCGTGATTAATTAAAAATAGAAAATTAGCATTCTGAAAATAAAATAGTTAACTTTCAGTGTTTTATTTTTGTTTGGAAAATTTCTGTTTGAAGTGAGGCAAAAACATTTTTTTTGCCCAATATTTTTTGTATAAATACACAAGAGACTTCAAAAACAATTCTGCATGTTCTAAGACTGGTTTCCTAATCAGATAACACTCTTGCTGAAATTGATCTGCTTTTATAAACCGGTGATTGTATTTATTCGTGGTTTAAATCCCAGATTTATTCAACTATTTATCTGATTTCTACATGGCTTTATCTGATTTTGATGAAGTCAACTCAAAGGGCATCAAATTTGATCCCTCTAGAATTCAAAAACTGGTAAATGATTTTGTAATGAGTGTCAATTATTTTGTAACTGTTGTGCCGCCATAAGGATATTTAATGTAGAACCTGAATTTGTGGGGAAAAAAACCACAGCTAACAAATACTTACTGTCGTTGTTTTTTGTTGGTTTGTTTTTTGCAACTCAGATGAGGTATATTCCTGGGTACTTCACTCAGAAGATCTGATATTTGGAGAAGGAATGTATTATTTTGTAGTGAGACCAGACACAGAACTAGACATCCTTGCTTCCAATGAAATGAATATCTCCGTCACTTGCTTTGTGTCCCAATGCGTATTCTGGGATGAGCACCAAAAGAGTTGGAATAGCTATGGATGCCGCGTAAGTAGAGAGAAGTAGAAATATTGGAATACTTAATGGAGATGTATTGCTAGGCAATGTTTTTCTCTGATGTAAAACCTTTTAGATATACCGGGACTGCAAGTTTTGAATATTGGGAGTTATATTACTAACATTTCTGGAGAATGCAGGCTATGGACAGCTATTTTATTTTAAGACTTATTTTCCTCTCAGTCAAAAGTAAATAACCTGATTTTAAATGCAGATGTTATTGAAACTAGGACTAAATGGGAAGTGTTTCTTTTGCCTAAAAGAGAAACATGTGTAGTCCTTTATTGTCAGACACAAAGAATCAGGACCATAAGTTAAATTGTAGCTCAGAAAGATTTATTGCTCTAAATACAAAAATCTGGTCAATGAATGGTCAACACTACATTGGTGCTAGATAAGGGCCAACTGAATTCAGGGAGGGCTGTACTTGAGCCTCCTGTGGGCAATGCAAGGATTCTAAACTGATGACGCCTTTTGTTCCACCCTCCAGGTCTGCCTGCTTTCTATAATAGAGAGTCAAAGCAAGAAAATAATTAGTGTTTCTCCACCTAATGTCACTTTCCCTGAATAATAAGCAATTTATTATGGCTTCATCTCCTGCTCCTTATCTCAGTTACTGATATTGGAATGTCTCTGAGTTTTTAGTCCTGCTTCTAAACAAGGCCTTCAAGTCACAATGTTCCAAAATCTCCATACACACAACTCAGTCCACCACACCGTTTTTTTTCACACTTTCACAAGACATTCCAAGCATTTTCTCCTGATGTTTTTTCATGTCCCAGCTTGGAATCTCTCGATGGGACAGGCTGGGACCTTGCTCCATTCCATTCCACGTAAAACATATCCTGCAGCATCTGAAATGCCCTTTCTTCTCTGCTTTTCCTTTCTGTTTTTTATATTCCATATTTACGGCATGTATGTGCCCCTTTACAGAGGCATTCTTAGCATCTTCTGCTTTTCTTCTCACGTGTTTTTTGTTTTATTTTGTTTTGTGCTGAACTATCAGCCTTCCCTAAAAACAATCTATGACCCTGGCCCAGATCCAACCCTTTTCTTCCCTTGAGCACTTCACCTACTAAACTGTTGTGGTTCACCGGCAGCAGGTGCGGACGGCTGAGGTCTCGGAGAGCGAGAACTCAGACAAGGGGCCTGCGTGTGATGTAGGGATGAGGCCAGGACCATCAGGGAGTGGAATGCTGCCTTGGGAGATTGTGGAGGGTGGCAGCAACGATGAAGAGGTTCCCGAGGAGCCTGTGCCTAGGGCACATGCGCAGGGCTGCTTGAAGAAAAGAACAGCTGCAGCAGCAGCCTTGCAAAACGTTGGCAAGGCTCTTACTTATCGGAGCTAATTGGTTTGAAGCAGCCTTTTACCCATGAAGGAACAGGATTCGTTAAGAAACATTAAAAGGTTGTGCTGTTACCTCTGTCTCTGTTTGCTTCCTTGGAACCAGGTTTGGGTCAGAACCACACACTGACAGATGTGGAAACAAAGACCCCAAACATCTGTGTGAAGTCTGTGACTGTACAGATGAAACAGAGATAGACATCAAAATGACACCTCTTCTTTGGCTTCTAGGTTGGTCCCAAATCTACTCCTGCGGATACTCAGTGTCTCTGTAACCACCTGACCTTCTTTGGTAGCTCTTTCTTTGTCATGCCAAACAGCATTGATGTCAGCAAAACTGTGGAGCTGTTTGCCACTTTTGTGGACAACCCTGTTGTGGTGACGACAGTAGGCTGCATCTTCCTCGTCTACCTTCTGGTTCTGATCTGGGCCAGAAGAAAAGACATCCAAGATGATGCCAAAGTAAGTTGCACATGGTTTCTGCCTGGCTTTTATTTCTTTTGCAACACAAAGAGTTTTCTTTTGCTTGTAAAGAGAGGCTGAGCTGTGCAAGATGGGTTCTGTGGTTTATTTACCGGTCATGAAAACTATGGAGATTCTCAGTCATCCAGGTAATCATGGTTGTCCCAAAGGTGCTTTTTCAAGAGGCAACTTGAACTTCCTGTTGTTTTTTTGTTTTGAAGACGTTTCGCTTCCCATCCAAGAAGCCATCGTGGAAAATTGTCCCGTTTTTCAATTCTGTAGATCTTGAACAGTGTACAGTCTTTAAACCTGCCGGCACCGATCTAGCAAGGAATCTTTCCTTGTTTATTGACATATTTCTATTCCTCATCTCCTAAAGTTGCGTTACTTCTCTCTAGGTGAAGATAACCCTCCTAGAAGACAACGATCCTTTTGCTCAATATCGTTATCTAGTGACGGTTTATACTGGACATCGCCGAGGTGCAGCTACGACCTCTAAGGTAGCAGTGGTTTTATGCAGACCTCGGTGTCTCCACGTATCATCTCTCCTGCGGGAGCTGCATTGGTTGCCAATTTGCTTCTGGGTGCAGTTCAAGGTGCAATTCAAGGTTGTCCCCTTTAAAGCCCTTCAGGGCTTGGGACCGGGTTATCTGAGGGACTGCCTCTTGCCAGTCACCTCTACCCGACCCATTAGATCAAGGAGGCAGGGAACATTGCAGGTCCCATCCCCAAGAGAGATACACCTGGTGGGACCCAGAAGAAGGGCCTTCTTCGTAGTGGCTCCCTCTCTCTGGAACATCATCCCCCCAGAGATTGGAATGATCCCCTCTCTAATACTCTTCTGGAAGGCACTGAAGATCTGGTTCTGCCAGCGGGCCCGGGGAACCCAGAGTGGGATGGAGGCCATTGAATAGTTCGTGTGATCTCTCATCAGGGTGTGAGTTGGGGTGGGGGTAATTTTGTTAGATTGTATTATATTAATTTATTTGATTCTTTTGGTAGTTTTTATTGTTTTAAGTATGGTTTTTATATTCGGTAAGTTACCTCGAGTCGCCATGGGCAAATAGGTGGCAATATAAAATAAATGAATAAACAAATGAACAAATGAATGAACGAATGAACAAATGAACGAATCAACGAACGAACGAATGGAGTCCCTGATCTTGTGGCTTAAAAGAGCCACAGCATTTATTTTATCCTGAGTCTAAATAAGTGCCGGAGAGAATGTTCTCTTAAATCACCAAAGCCATAGACTGCTGGAGGACGTCTTTCTGATGGGAATAGGTGACAAAACTAAGACTTCCTTTCCTCCTCATTGCATTCCCCACTCAGCATGGCATGCGCACGGCCACATCTTTAATTAATAAAAATGATAACTATCTGCATAGTATACTCTTCTCTGATCCTCAGACACTCATGCCTTGGTATTTGCTAGAAGGAAGACAGACGGGAAGTAGTGATAGACAAATAGGAGCCCTGCATATAGCACAAGTAGTGCTCAATTTGTTTAGTGGCCATTCAAAGTTACAACGGGACGGAAAAAAGTTACTTATGAACGTTTTTCACACTTTTGACTGTGGCAGCATCCTCCATTGTTACAGGATCAAAGTTTGGGCACCTGACAACTGGCATGTACAGATCGTTCTCGACATAAAGCAGTTCATGTAGTGACTGTTCAAATTTACAATGGCACTGAAGAAAAGTGACTTATGACCACTTTTCACACTTATGACCTTTGTAGAAATAGAGTAGACTAGAAAAGAATTAGAATTAGAATAGAATAGAATAGAATAGAATAGAATAGAATAGAATAGAATAGAATAGAATAGAATAGAATAGAACAGAACAGAACAAGTGTGATTGGACACACAAGGAATTTGTCTTGGTGCAAATGCTCTCAGTGTACATCAAAGAAAAGATTCGTCAAGAGTTAAGAATCATCAGGTCCAACACTTAATGATAGTCATGGGGTACAATAAGCAATCAAATCATACTAGGAAACAGTCAATATAAATCATAAGGATACAAGCGACAAGGTTACAGTCATATAGTCACAAGTGGGAGGGGAGGGGTGATAAGGAGTGATGAGAAGATTAATAGTAATAGTAATGCAGACTTTGTAATAGTTGAACAGTGTTGAGAGAATTATTTGTTTAGCAGAGTGGTGACATTCAGGAATAAACTGTCCTTGTGTCTAGTTGTTCTGGGTGTGCAGTGCCCTATAGCTCTATAGCTTGTAGCATTCCCATGGTCATGTGATCAAAATTCAGATGCAACTGGTTCATACTTATGACCGTTGCTGTGTCCGAAGGTCCTGTGATCCCCCTTTGCAAGCAAAATCAACAGGGAAGCCAGATTCACTTAAAAACCATGTTACTGACATATCAACTGCAGTGATTCAGTTAACAACTGTGGCAAGAAAGGTCATAAAATGTGGCAAAATCCACTTAACAAATGTCTCCCTTAACAGAAGTGTTGGGCGCAATTGTAAATTGAGGACTACCCACATGCAAATGAAATACATGAGGAAGTGAAGCAATTCTTAAGCGTCCTTTCTATTCCAGGTGACTCTCACCTTGTACGGCCAGGAAGGAGAGAGTGAGCCGCATCATTTGATGGACCCCGACACCCCAGTTTTTGAGCGAGGGGGTGTGGATATCTTTCTCTTATGCACCCTCTTTCCTCTTGGGGAACTACAGAGTATCAGACTGTGGCATGACAATTCAGGAACGAGCCCTGCCTGGTATGTAAGAGAGAGAACCGAAGTAAAGATGTCCTTTTATCCTCCTTTTGCAAAGAGGACATCTTCTAAAATACTTCTTTATTGGTTAAGTTAATACTTTACTTTCTGATTAAGTTTTTTTTTTTTTTTTTGGCATGGTTTTGCATCGAAGTAGTGCAAAATTGCTAATATTTCTCCCCGTTCTGCCAACCTAGCAGTTCGAAAGCATGGTAAAAATGCAAGTAGAAAAATAGGGACCCCTTTGTTGGGAAGGGAACAGCGTTCCGTGCACCTTCAGTGTTTAGTCATGCTGGCCACACGACCACGGAGACGTCTTCGGACAGCGCTGGCTCTTTGGCATTGTAACAGAGATGAGCAGCACCCCCTAGAGGCAGGAAATGACAAGCATGTATGTGCGAGGGGAACCTTTACCTTTAACTCGTAATGATGGGTGTGAGCTGGGCAGCCATACCAATTTAAGAAATAAAGACATGAATAAAGAAATAAAATTGTTCTCTTTCCTGAAGATTGAAGGAAGGGATCTTCTATTTTAATTCATGATTCCTACCTACCCCAATTTAAAGGGGCCCTCAAACACATTGGGTTACAATTCTAGCCCTTGTTAGATTAACCTTTATAGATTGGAGACATCCGTGGGAGTGTTAGATCGTGGCTTCTGAAAGGCGTCCAGTTGAAAAATTAATGTAGTTTGGTGTTGAGAGTGTCCTCAGTGTGAGACATGAAATATTACTGCTTTTTACTAAGCGAGTCTAAAAATAGCTCGTGTCCAGAACTTGCTGGCCAGTTGCCAATCTACTCCATCAAGAATAAGACTGCAAGGCAGCTTCAAGTGATTTTTTTTTGTGGGGACCGGCGGAGTAAAAATGTCCCAGATTTGTAGGCTAGGTTCACCCTTTCTAGCAACCTAGCTATTCTATGACTAAGGCGGGGCTAGAATTCACTGTCTCCCAGTTTCTTGTCTGGTGCCTTAATTACTAGACCAAACTGGCTCTCTGTGTTGTGTGGTGTGGAAACCAGGTTACTTTGCCTTGCTAACTATCTAACTATGCCATTGCTTAAAATAATGCATGAACTTCATTGTGTCCTTTCTTTTATATTTTTTATTCAAAGGTATGTGAATCGTGTTCTCGTCCATGATGTGGCCACTGATCAGAAGTGGTATTTTCTTTGTAACTCTTGGCTGGCCATTGACGTTGGAGATTGCGTCCTAGATAAAGTCTTCCCTGTGGCCACTGAACAAGACATGAAGCAGTTCAGGTGTGTATTTTTGTTTGTTTTGGAAAGTGGTGTGTCTAGAACACAGTATATTTTTCTACCCAACAAAGGCTCAAAAAAAAAATAAAAAGTTTGGTCAAGTTTCCGGAATTCTATTCGTATTTTTAAAAATTGTCTCTAGGGGTAATTAATTGGCAAACAAAAAGCAACAGTCTTTGCTTTGGTTCCTCACCTTGTCTCTTTCATTTCTCTTCAGCAATCTCTTTTTCATGAAGACCTCCAAAGGTTTCCGCGACAGCCATATCTGGTACTCCATTTTCAACCGTTGTCCACGCAGCTCTTTTACACGAGCCCAGAGAGTGTCTTGTTGCTTCTCGCTTCTTCTGTGCACTATGTTGACCAGCATCATGTTTTGGGGAGTGCCCAAGGATCCAGCAGACCAAAAAATGGATTTAGGTAATAGCATCATGGCTTTATTGCTTTGGAGTACAGTAGGAAGGACAACTAAGAGGAGTTAAGAGGGCTATCCAAGTATGAAATCTAGCCACAGAGGACAAATTCTAGATCTGATGCCTTTTGCTTTGAAGTTGGTGGCACTTTGAGAATGTTTTCTTGATTTCTCCCCTTACTAAAAACCATACTGACCTACAGTATGCTAAATGACTGTTATAAAAAAGTTGGAGGAAAACTTACAGGATGCTTAATCTGTATGAAACCTGCTGCATAAATGCTTTGCCGGGACAGATAAGAGTAAGAGCTATTGAGTCTGCCATTGGTAGGTGAAACATGTTTTGAGTACTGAATCTTGTTTGTGGTTTGTATTTGGAGATGACCAAGAGGAGTCTGGCATATGAAAAGAAAAAGAGAAATAGAAAAGAACAGGGAATGACAGTTAGGGAAGATGGTGAGATGGATGTTCCCAATTATTATTGGGGGAAAAAAAGAGAGAGAGAGAAGAGTAGGGGAAGATGGGTTGGGATCATTCATCCTAACTCTTGCACCTTCCAGATAGATTGGAACTACAAATGCCAAATTATCAGGCATTACAGTCAAAGGTCAAGGAAGCTGGTGTCCCAGCGTAGCTATGAATCATCTTCAAAGGAACTTTTGTTAGCCTCAAACATTTGTCAATAGAACCCTTGTTTAAAGACTCAAAGCCACACATTTCTGTTGGAACAATACTCCAGTTTTCTTCCAACCATCTACCTGTGTTAATTATAACTCACATGACTCCTATGCAGCATGGCCAAATGCTTCGTTAATGTCAATATTAGTCATCACCTGGTGCACTTGAATGGGGTTCACTTGGTTTCTTATTGGCATTATTTAAAGTAGGACTCACACATTATGCTAAACCATGGCTTCCAAATCATTAAAACTGGCTTTGCAAAAAAATAGATTGTCAAAACTGGTCAAGCACATGACTCTTCTTTTTCGCTTGCTCTCTCCAGGCAAGATAGAGTTCACGTGGCAAGAAGTGATGATTGGTTTTGAAAGTTCCATCCTGATGTTCCCCATCAACTTGCTCATTGTCCAGATCTTCAGGAATATTCGTTCTCAGTTTAAGAAAGAACAGAAACCAGGGAAAAGTGGGCGTGTATCCCCTGACTTGCCTTCTCTTCCCCAACAACCTCCCTCAAATGTGTCCCTCACCGCTGAGGCTGTGATCAAGGCAAGTGATTGTAGCTATTTATGGCGAGTGAGACAGTTGGTTTGACTCACACAAGATATGCCATCTCAGATAGGAAGCTCAAGTAGCAAATGATGCGTAAGAACAGCCTAAGACAGGGGTCTCCAACCTTGGCAACTTGAAGACTTGTGGACTTCAATTTCCAGAATTCTGGGAGTTGAAGTCCACAAGTCTTAAAGTTGCCAAGGTTGGAGACCCCTGGCCTAAGACATATTGCTTTCTATGGCAAAACAGAAAATTAGGCTCAGTTGCATCTAAGTACCCAAAACCCCAGGAAGGCATCCATCCCACAAGTATCTTTCAAATATGTAACTTATATAAATATATATATAAATAACTTATAATAAAATAAAATAAGGAGCTGAATGCCCATATGACTTGATTAGAACTTAGACAATTGTCTTATAGACTTCTCAAAAGTAAGGTAGTGCTATTGAAGAGCCAGACTTCTGTCTGGAAAGCTCTGTTAGTCAGAGCAGACAGTGCTGACCTCTATGGGCACTCAACCCATAGAGATCTCAGAGATTCCATAACTCAGATAGTCTACTCTAGGGGAGCATCATGTACCCCTGGTTGCCTATCTGATCCAGTGACACAGTTTCTCAGTGGAAGAGTCTCAGGTAGCTCTTTCTCTGGCATTTTTCAACTTGCATTTCTTCCCATTGGAGGAAAGTAGAATTTGGTGTTAGATGAGGAACTTTGAGACCCAGTTTCATATCCACCCCACTATATAGAAGTTCATTAGGTGACTTTGGGCTAGTGTCTTTCAGCCCAACCTGCCCTTTGGAAATTTTGGGAGAAAAACTGGAAGAGCGCTATATATATAGTCTCTTGAGCTTCTGGGGAAAAAAACGGGCTATATATCTAATACATTAATTTTTAAAAACCAGGAAAAGGCCCTAAGTTATTTTCATGAGAATAAGTTTTTGCTTAGGTCAGATTAGACAATCTGGGATGGAGAGGCTGTCCATTTCTCCTTAAAAAGGAGACTATTTGTAGCTCAGAGTTGAAATGAAGGCTTCTCAGTGTTCTCTGAGCTTTGTTGTTTTCCTGCAGACGCTTCAGTATTCAAACTCAGTGATATTACCTAGTTGGGTAATGAAACGTCTGCAAAATTGAACAACCAAGTTCAGAGAGCATCAAGGACCCCTCATTCCTCTTTGTCTTCTCCTGTCTCGTCTGACTCCTTGATCTTCCATTTCCATTCCCACCAAAATGTGAGGTTCATCTTTGGCCCTCAAAAGTCAGGAAAACTGTGATTTCAGAAAGATTGGCCTTTTAAAAGCTTGATTTTTTTTATTTAAAGCCCCTGAATAATTTTAGGAAAAAAGTTAGAGTTCTTTTTTCCTCAGGGATTGAATTTTGGAGAGTTTGGGATTTTTTTTTTTTCCTCCTGTCTGTGTATCCCAACACAACACTGAAAGATCAAAACTCTCATCCAGAATAGGTCGCCTAATCTTGCTTTAGAAGAAAAAACACAACATGTGGTTTGTTATCGGTATGGAAGGAACGCAAAGGGCATCCCAGTGATTCTGTCCAATTTCTTTTTTCTTTTTAACTATCATTCTTGTAACCATTTTATCCAGGATATTAGGCGGATTGCCAATTCCCTGTTCAAAACCTTGAAGGCTCCTTTACCTTCCTCGGATCCAGATTTTAGTAAATCGACCGATATCAACAAACTGCTGGCCTTGGTGGAGGACATTATCTGTCAGCAGAACAGGGTGGGAGAGGAATTTTACGATGAGAGCAAAAAGAAAGATGACCCCATTATCATTAGTCTCGGGCTGGTGGATCTAGAAGGTAAGTCATATGTGGCAGGAGTCCCATAAGTGAAGGAGAGGGTGACCTCAAAACTGAATCTTAATTAGCCAATTAAAATCTCCTTCCGTTGTGGTGGTAATTAAGCTGGTTATTCTTCCCATTTGTCTCACACAGGCAGGTGTGTTTAAATTGGCTGTTAGCACTATCTCCTCTCTCTCTATAAATGAACGTGGATTTTCACAGTTCTGGACCTTATTATTACATGTGTTGAATGCAAAATTAAGTTTGTCCCTAAGCACATTTTTATATAAAATTTCAGAACAGTGATACGTTTTTTATAATTCTCAAATAACCTACTTCCTTCCTTCCTTCCT